CGTCCGGCCGCGGGGAGCCGCGGACCGACCGCGCACCCGCCGTGCGCTGCGAGGGGAGGCGGCGCTTCCAACCCCCGCCGGCTCCGGGGCGGCAGCGCTGAGCACCGGGCGCCGCACGGCCCGCGGGCGAGCCCCGAGGGGCTGCCCCTCCGAGACCGGCCAGCGGTGAGGGACAGGTGGGTGCCTCCCACCGGGAAACACACCCTCTGCAGCGAGCACTCGGAAAGAAGTGTGTCCTGCGAAAAGTCCGTGTTTATGGTGTTTTCTGAAATTTCTATCTGCAGTCACACACCGTGTTTTTGCTATAGGTTTAACGTTTTCTTACAGCGATGCACTTGCAGGGATTTGTAGATGCACAGATGTGCATATTTTACTATTTCAGTACATAAGCTGTGAATACTTAGAATTTGAAAGGGTGCTAGAGCAATCGTGATTATTACCATTTTATCATCCTGTTTCTTATGCAGTTTTAAACATCTAAATGCACATATATTATGCACTGCACTCGCAGTATTATCACAAGGCACAAGTCTCCTTTTTTCAGTGTTTAACTTGTTCTCAATCAAGCTTACTATGTATGAAATCTCTTTTATTCTGGTGTGGTGGATGCCTCGTGCCTCGTCTTCAGTGTATATTTTGCCACCCTCCATGAGAAAGGTTCAAATTTTGTTAGAAAATTGTTCACTAATGGTCTGGTTTTATAATTTTTTGTGTGGATAGGCTGTTAAAATAGACTATGCTGGTTTCAGTGCTAGCGGTGTTTTTATTTTGCAATAAATAAAGCCCCATTTGATGGAGCAGTACCTGGGTACTAGGGAAGAGCAGGTGATTTTTCTAGTTAAGAAATTGATAAAAATGGAAACATTTGTGTGGTTCAATTCCTGGATAAAATTCTGTTCAATCAGCTGTGTTGCTAGGTCTAAGTACGTAACTGACGCTTGTTTATTTCAATGGGAATTCAGTGCTTTGGGGTTGTTCAAGGGTTAGGCCCTTGACAGCTCTCATTTTTTTCTAAATTTTTTTAACCCATAGGTTTAAAATTCAAGTGAACCACTTGACATCTCTGTTCTGAGTCACTGTGTGTTAACCTAGTTTCTCCGTAGTATAAGATGTGTGTCTCTATTTGGATTCTTGTAGGATGTTTCAGTTATCAGTAGTGGAGAGAAAGATTAAGAAGTTGTATTTGTTTCAGCATTTCATGTATTGCCACATATTTCACTAATCTTTTTAATGTAAGAATTTCATTGTGATAGAAAGAATCTGTGAAAGGCTCTTTGCATAACTGTGCAGGCTGCCTACAGGTTCTTGGTGCGCTCCTGTATACCAGGAAGACTTTTTGGTGTGAAATCTACTTACATCTGAATACTAGCGACTGGTTTTAACATCTAGGAGTAGAACATTCCTGCAGCTGTTTGCAGTTATTTTAATCCATTACCCTGGGAAGAAGAAGAAGAAAAAGATCATAATTCTTATCTCCTCTACTTCCTGATTGGCCATTTAAAATCTTACATATTTAATTTCGGATGTACTTTTTGTTCTCAACAGTTTATTGAGGATCTGCAGGCTGTGCTTGATCTTGTAGTCCTTAGAAAAAGAAAGACAGGTATTTGAAGTTGATGAGAATTGATCAAAGAAAATGCACAGATGAATCTTGTACTCTACACTAGTATTACTATTAGATGTGCTTTGTGGTGTTTCAAGAATGCCACAGTCAGATATAGTCACTAACATGTCAGTTTTTCATGTGTCTAAAAGTTCTGACACGTTGCAAAAGGAGACCTGTGCTTCATCTTTGATCCAGGAACAGCTAGCATTTTCTTCTACCACTTCTGGTTTGGATGCTAATTAACTGTCACTTGCCATGGATGACAGCCATCTTTTTTTTCAGGAATTACTAATTTTCTAATATCAACTCAGAACAGAGTGGACTTGGATTCAGTTTTTTTCCAGTGTCATCTGCTGAGCAGGTTGTGACTGTAATTGCTCAATATACGCTTCAAGTCAACATTTTAGGGAGTGAATGAAATAAAACTGGGTAGCTGAGGATCAGTCACAGGAAGAAGGACAGGGAGAGAGGACCTGTGAGCTTTCTGAGATGAGAGCCGGGATAGTGATGCATAAACAGATTGTATTTTGTACTTGCATAATGAACAATCAGTGATCAGGGGGACTTTACACCACTGATTTTAGACATTTACAAAGGGACAGAATGCTGATGGATGGAACAGTTGGCGGTGTACTGAAGGTGAAGTACAATTCCTCTGCATTACAGTTAGGAGCAGTAGTTGCTCTTGCTAGTAGGTCATTGTGTTCCAGTATCCTGGTTGTGTCTCTTTTCTCCATGCAGTCCTGTGTTTGTGGCCTTCTGTTACAGTGCTTGGGATTTTTGTACTTCATTAACCAGCAGTACCTACTTAAGAACATCTTTGCTGAGGTTTTGTGGTTTGAATTTTATTCCTAATTTGTGTGGAAGAGAAGTGTTCAAGAGAAGTGCTGACACATGAGATGCAGGAACACCTTAGGACCTTAGGCTCTGCCTTGGTTAGAAAGTTGTTTCCTTCTCTGTAAAGGAATGTGAGGAATAACCTCCTGGAGAAAGAATTAATGAGTTTAAGCTGACTCAGCAGGCATTGGTCTTCTACTGACTACCAGTATCTGTGAGCACATAGTAGAAAGCCTGATCCACTCTGCTATGAATGGTTACCCAGCCCAGATTCACTTGATTCCAAACATTTTTACAAGGTAAGTTCTTATTTATGGGTTAGAGGTGGGAAGGAAGGTGGGTGGGAATTACTGTGTACATCTGAGACTGCGTCTATTTGGAGGTTTAAGACAGGTTGCAAAACAACTTCGATACTGCAGCCGCATTTTCCCTTTTGAATGTAGGTCCCCAAGTCATGACTTCTCAGAACTGTTACTTCTCTGCCATTTAATCTTTCAGGTGCCCAAGAGTTTTGCAGGTAAGATTGCTGTGAACCTATAATGCAGCTTCTAAGTGCCCCAGGGCATGCAGTTGTTGTTAGTGCTGACAGTAAGTCTTAAGTTGACCCCTTATATTCTGTCAGGCTACGTGAGCATCCTTATCCTGTTTTGTGTAGTTTTTGTGTATTGTGGGTTTCTTTTCTTTTTTCTTTTGGTTTTGAAAGCTTAGACATCTTTCTGTAAGAGATTGTTGGCATCTGAGAATACTGTGGTTAGACAATGAGTTTAGATTTGAGGAATGCCCTTTAGAAATGCCTCTTTTCTGGGATTTTCGTGATAACACATACCATGGCACTACCTGATTTTTTTTTAGATTCTTTTTTTTTCACCTTAACTTGGAATGTAACAAGAATTCTAAATATGAATTATTTTTGTGATGAAATTTCGCTGTTGTTTTTTTTTTTATTCCATCTTTCTAAAATGCGAACAGGAGGTATGTGCCTAAAATTGGCTAGGACAGAGTATTCAGAATCAGCACCCACTCATTTCTGTCTGAGTGAAGTATTGACCCACTTTGCATTTCAAGCATCCAATCCAACAAGTTCTTTTTGTGTGCTAATAATCTCAATGAACAATCCTGCTGCCTGTATCCATACATCTCATCTTCTGTACAAGAGTATCTCTTTAGCATCCAGTTGTGCTCTCATTTGGGCAACCTGACACTTAGTTTTTGTGAATTTGAAAGCTGGATCAGCACTCTTGAGAACAGATTGCAATAAATCTTCAAGAGCTCTGAGATAAATTTAGTGGATTGGAATTTTTTTATTTCTGGAAGTGCAGCTAAAAAGCATCCAGCAGGTACTTTGTTGTTATGCAAACCCAAGAACTGTAATTTCTTCGAGTTATAAAAAGCCGAATTAACTCTTCCCAAAGTAAACATGCCAAACTCCTGGTTACCTAAGATTTTTTTTCTCCAAGTAATGTGGGGTTAGAACTGTAATTTTTATTTCAAACAACATAAAGCCTTCGTAATACCACCCTTAGCTTTTTTTTTTTTTCTTTTCTTTCTTTAGCAGACATAATTACTGAAGGAAATACAATAGGAAACTGGTTTTTTTTTGGGTTTTTTTATCGGTGATGGTTTTTCTTACCCTGAATGAAATAGCATTATTGGTGTATATTATGCAATGGTGTCCATTATTTAAATAAAATAACTACGCTTTTCACTTAAACCTTAGCCTATTTGGTGATGAACACTATCTATAGTGCATCTTAAGACCAAATTAGTCCAAGTTTGGTGATGAATTTTTGAGTTTTGGACTGTCTTTTGAACTGTTGTCTGGGTTGGGAAGTTAATACTTGTTTTTAAATACACAAAGGTAGACACTGTCAACTTGAATGTCTAATTAACCAGTTCACAATTTCTCACAGTATAAAATTATGTTTCAAGCTGCAATATCTGCAGTTTGAATGATAGAGGTGAGCTTAAAGAATTGTTTTCTTTTGAGGTTGCTCAAAACCTCCAAATTTTGAGTATTTTGGTATTATACTTAATGGGTTAGGTTCTGTTACTAGTGTGAAAATGTCCGTATTATGGATTACAGAAATGTATTTAGTGAAGCATTTGATTTCAAGCAGCTAGATGGAGC